TCCTTAACAGCAACCCAGTTCTTTCCTCTGGACTCTGGACTCTCTGGAAAATCACCGGCTCCATGTGTTCAATGGATTATCTTTCGGTGGGAAAAGTAGCAGCAGCAGTACTTGTGTAGTAATAGCCGTGGCGGTCTTGGTGGTGGTGGTAACATTCATAGCAATATTGTTGGTGCTATTAGTTATATGCATTACTAGCCGCAATCTGGAAAAAGACACGCGGTTCCCCTAAACCCTAGATCCTGGTGCACCAGTACTGCGCAGTCCTGGTCTGGTTAGTCTCTGCCATCACTTTGTGCATACCACGGGTAAGGTACTGTGGGGCCTAGCGATATCAGGTACTGGACTGTTAGGGACGAGGAGGCTTTCTTTGGGTTTCAAGTGGCTGTTGGGGAGGAGAAGTTGTTCTGAGCTCAGAAGGAGACCTTGACGGCGACGACTATTCTTAGTCTTTATGCTTCATCGCGCATGGGGCACTTGGGAAGGGTTCTTTTGGAATGTTTATTTAGCACAGAAGGAGGACCTGTGCCCATTCATCACTGCAGAACTGGCACTCTACACATTGCAGGAGCCTTTTAAACTAAAGTTGCAACATCGCACCTCGAAATTCTGTTGCACATCAGTAGACGCCATCCCTATACCTCTGCAAATGAAAACTCGCAAGCAAAAAAGTGACCAATGTGGACCAAAGTCTTGAGACACTCTCTGAAATCCCAACCATATCCTCCCATAGTCCCCATATCTCATCCCTTTACTCTGCCTGTGCCTCAAACGCTCCTTCACAGCAGACAGGTGAGGGCAGGGCATAGCAAGCCTCCCAGCATCAGGCATACTTTATCATAGTTGTTTGGTGATGTGGAGGTATCGCAGGGCATCAAACTCAGCCGGAACCAGGGACAAAGTTGTAACCTTGAAGCTTTGAGTCATGTGATCGCCAGAAGAGAATGTGAAGTCGCCAAGAGACGAGGCTTCTCAACCGATGTGTTACAATGCTGCGTATCATCGTCAGATCACTTGCAAGTTGTTGTTGGAATGCAGATTTTGTTGGATGACCGGAGACGGGGGACCTTCTACGAACCTTACTTTCAGGGATTCCTAGCCAACGGCCATGTTGCCCAGCAAAGTCTGCAACACCAAGCAACGACAAACGGCTCGCCACCTTTGGTTGGATAATGAGGATTACATTGGGATAATGGAAAATGAAATGGAAACTACTATACTATATAGGGGTAATATTGAGGTTATTTTGGGGTTAATATTGGGATAATGGAAAAGAAAATGGAAACTACTATACTTCAAGTAGTTTCCATTTTCTTTTTTCATTATCCCCATATAATCCCTATAGAACCCCTTTAAAGGGACCCATGTTCTATCTACTTAAGGAGAACTTCAGGAGCTGCGCACCGAACTCCGGCAGCGCGAGCGGAAAGCCGTGGCCGAGGTTTTGAGGACCACGCAGGCATCTGGCAGTTTCTCAGCATAGCCCGCAATTTCTCATAATCAGTGCTTAGGATCCCAAAGGGTGCTTAATTTTCAGAAGCCCAAGACAAAAAGTTCTGAGTTGTGTGTTGTCAGGCTTGGGGTTGAGGGTTATTTAGGAGTTAGAGGTCAAGCGCTGCGTTGGTAAGGAATCCGCAGATCATTCGCATGTATGGGCAGAAGCTACAGATTTCAAATGTATTATTTATGAATGCGATCGAAGTATTGGAACCTGGCCCGGCCCTAAACCCTAAACCCTAAACCCATAGTTTGATTTTAGGCCATGGTGGCCCAGGATGGCCAAGGGCTCAAGGCTAGCAGGAGTACGATAACCCAAGTAACTGGAACACCGATTTGGTGAGCCATGACTATGAAGCAAGGGAAAGCTCGACACCCTAGAGCCTTGAATCCTCAACCCCAAGCCTTGAAACCTCAATCCCCGAAACCCAAAGATCCAGCCACTTTTCTGGGGCCAAGGGTCCTCGGAATTTGTACTCAGTAGCTGTCCGATGGTTCGGGATCCTTGGCATGTTTTGACTGCTTGAAATATGCTTCCTGCAATACTTAAGGAGGACCTTCATAATCCATGTACAATGCCTGCATATTCCTCGGGTCCCTGCGGGCAGCAAGCCCTGCTTTGATACATCCTGAGACAGGCTGAGAACTTGATAAATCTGGTGCTGCATGGACCGGGGCCTCCATCACGCACGGGTTTGCCCGTCACCAGAGTAGGAGTGAAAGGTATCATGTATTTCTGGAGAAAAAAGGGCACTCCAAACAGTGTTCCACTTTGCCAGTAGATCCGTCATACAGACGTTTTCAAAAGGGACCAGAGTAGAGCCCAAGAGCAATTGGTAGTCACTACAGCTCACTGGCAGGAGGCTTTGACCTCTGAACCTCACAAGCCCAGAGCAAACAAGCAGCATTTCTCTTGTAATTTCCAGAACGTAAACCCGAACTGGAGGTTGTCTTCGCGACATGTACTGGCGCAGCCGTTCTCCACCGCGAGATAAGGCCTATTTTGGGTACTTAGCCAGTCATTTAGCTCAAGAATCCGAGGCTCAAAAATCAAATCCTGATATTTAGGGAAACCTCAGCACCCTGAAGTTGAACGCCTGCACTTGACCCGCCCTTCAAAACCCCGACTGGAGCTCTGCACAAGTTATCTAAATCATAACCCCGGAAACCCGCACCTGACCTGAGAAGGGTGAGAAGAAGAGGAAGAGGGGGAGAGAAGCTTTCATGAGCTCAGCATTAGGGGAGAGAGAGAGAGAGAGCAGGCCATCTCTAGCACAAACCAAACGCGTGGACACCCTAGCAGTGCATCCCGAGTACGCACTGAACCCTAGGTAGCCCAATGCTGCAGCCTCATTCCCTCCAAGCCTCATACCTTAAGTGAGCCCTTGAGAGCATAGTTTCTCAAAACCAGTACATCTTACTTTTCAGTTCTCTGCATACCCCCTGCTGAATCCCCTCCCCTAGTATTGACCCCCCCCTTAATCTTCGATATTTCCACTATATCATAGCATGCACCAATGGGAACATTTGATATTGGGAGGGGGGGGGTGAGTTTTATATATCACGGGGAGTGGGTTATCCTTGAACCCTGACAAGAACGGCCGCAGGCGAGGTCTTGGTGCTGGGGCGTCCCTGGAGTTATTGGGCTGCAAAATGGGTGTAGGGTTTAGGGTGTGGGGCAAACATCTCTCCCTTTTTTTGAGGATCATTTAGTGGAGTCTGAATGACCCCAGAAGGTACATCCGAAATTTGGGCGATGCCATGGTTTGCGATAACCGCATATTGATATATGTACTTCCTGGAAGCCCTGATGCCATCTTCCACAGGGTCACAGCTGAGCACAGGGGCGAAAAGATATATAGACGAGGTATCCCAACCCAACAATTTTCCATGGCTGTAGCTGTGAATTCTGAATTTTTTCAAAGGTGGCAGGGACATGCTTCCATGTATCCTTGTGCTGCCCGCAAGCATTCAAAATTGTTTGTTTGGAAGGACAGAACCCTCCTAGTCAGAAGTGCCTGCTCCCAAGCGAACATGGAACCCACTCTAGTTCTCTTTCAGAAGGGCAGTGGTCTTTTACAGGGCATTTTCCATGTTAGTTCGGACATGCCCGGTCCAGGTTTGACGTAGTCGTCATCGATGAGGCCGCGCAAGCGCTGGAGGCGGACTCCACAGATGTTTGAACTTTAAGCAACAGGGGAGTTCTCGAAATTGGGGGGGGGGAGGCTAGGGCTGTATTGGCATCTGTGGAGATTGAGCCTTGTCGAGGGATTATATGGTCATCTAGCAAACGAGTACCATCGTCAGTCATCAGAGTCCTCACAAGGGATGCCTCATTGGGAGACACACAAACTTATTGAGTCCCAGGCTCTGCATTAGGACCTTCCACTGCTGACAGAGTCCTGAACTTGCATGCAGGCTTCTCATGATGCTATTGAGCTAGTATCTTGGGACATCAAAAACTTGCTCAGGATCACAAGAGGAGTTTGCATGGGATTGTCGGCTGGGGGAAGCCTCCTCTCAAATGCTTTCCGGACTCCTTCTTCTCTTTTGGAGCTTGTGTGATGTCTGCTTGTATATGTGGCTCCGACGTGGGAGTTTCCCAACAGGACTTTCAGATACACTCTAACCGCAGACCTCACAATCTCCAATTGATATCATCCCCACATAATCCACACACATTTGCACAGACATCTATATATATATATATATATCTGTCTCTCTCTCTCTCTCTCCCTCTCTCTCTCTCTCCCCCCCTCTCTCTCTCTCTCTGTGTACATACACACACATGCATATCTATGTGTGTATGTATATATGTGTGTATATATAAACACATACACGCACACCCTGGGGCCTCCTATTTTGAGAAGCCAGGTGGCCTGCTGGATACCGCTGCTCCTGGGGAAGAAGGCCTGGGGAGGGACTCCAACAGACTGGGTTGCTGTTAAGGGATTCAAATTAAGTTACCATAATCTGGGTATACAGGGTTTAGGGTTTAAGTTGCCATGATATGGGTATATAGGATTTAGGGGTTAAGTTACCATGATATGGGTATATAGGGCTTAGGGTTTAAGTTACCATAACATGGGTATATAGGGTTTAGGGCTTAAGTTGCCATACTATGGATATATAGTAAACATAAGCGGATTTTCCTTCTTATAGTGATGTAATTTAAGTACCTTAACAGCAACCCAGACGATCGAACCCGGAAATAATGGAGAAAACGAGAAGACAATGGGGTAATTAAATCAATGCTATAGGCTTCAATTTAGGGTTTAAGGTTTAGGGTTTAAAGATTTGCGGTAGTAGGGGTATCCTTGGACATAGACGGCGAAGCTGGTGTCTGGAAGCCTTGGGATTGGATGAACTTTCCGAACAATGTGTACCAGGGCTGTTCCGAAGTGGGACTTCGGGGCAGGCTTGGTGTTTGCAGCCTCAGTTTGGGGTTTGGGGTTAGGGGTCAAGGTTTTTAGGATTTAGGGGTTTAGGGGTTCAGGGTTTAGGGGTTCAGGGTTTAGGGTTTAGGGGTTCAGGGTTTAGGGGTTCAGGGTTCAGGGGTTAAGGGTTTAAGGTTCAGGGTCTGCCTCACAGCTTCAAGCAGCTGAATGTCAAGAAACAAGGATTTCCTTTTCAGATATTTCCGATCTCTGGGAAGCAACTTAAACGCGCTTATTGGTTTCTACTTTGGAGAAGCAGTGGAACTCGTCCGTATATGCTTTATCCTTTTACCCCAAACAATTACACATAGATAACACCATAAACTTTAGACCTTCAACGCCTAAACCGTGATATTGAGGTTTGATGCCTAGGCGGTTGTAAAAAGGTAGTGCAAGAAAGGTCCAGAAACAAGCCTGGCCGTCCCCCTCAAACCTTTGTGGGGGATGTCTGGGGTCCTTCATACCATATTTGTCATTGCCCGTACCCACCCGAAGCAAAATTGCATAATGCAATAAAGCTGAAGCAAATGACAGAAGCAGTCCTTGCAATGCAATTTCGACTGCTAGTTTTGAGGTCTAACAGCAATCACCGTCCCAGTACCCATCAAAGCCTCCTTGTAGAATTGCTACTGCGCAGCCAGTGGGCGGGATCATCGCAGACATGGCTGCGCAAACCGCATCACTAGTGTTCTTAATAGCCCCATCATCATTATCTTCTTCACATTACTTTGAACGTTCCATACTCATGGGGAGAAGCAGCAGTTGTCGCAGCAATCGCAATACCCAATCCCCTGTAATGGTATGTGCATCAACTTCCCTGCTCCCCCTTGAGCACCCGAAACCTTCGTTAAATCATATGGAGGCTGCGCCTACGTGCCATCTGGCTGTACAGACCAATCATTGGAGTTTATGACAGTCGTTCAAGTCGTTCAACATGTCCTACACCCTTTAAGCACCACAAAGCTGCTCTACTCCTAATCTTTACATGACCCTCTTATGTAGTTGATATACATAGAATACTTCTTCCAACAAATCATCACACCGTTAACCCTTCCCTCGATGGACATATTGGCAGTAGCTCCTTAGTACCGTATTATTGTAGTAGTATTATAGTAATTAGAGTACATGATTATAGTATATCATTATAATATTAGTATATTACGACCTTCTATAGGGGAACTCAGGCAGTCTTGGCCGGGGACCACCAGCAGCTGGCAGCTTGCGTGAAGTCGGCGGAGGCGCAGAAGCAGGGCCGGGCCCCCAATGCCAGCTTTCGGGCTGGAGACTTTAGGGAAGAAGATTAAAAAAGAATATACTATAATAATATGTAGTAATAACTTAATATAATAATATACTAATAATATAAGAATATTATAATAAATCAATATATTATAGTAATATATTATAAGAATAAAGTATAATGATATCATAATGATATACTATCGTGATATAATGTAATATAGTCTTATAGTGGTAATTCTGTAGAGTCCAAACTCCCTAAAGGGGGTTATATAGGGGGTTGTAGAGGGGACTACTACAGGGCTTACTAAGGGGGACACTGGGAGTTTTGACTATGGCTCACGTGGTAATTCTGTAGGCAGTATAGCAGAAGGCCCTCAATCTCTGTCTTCAAGTTGGCCGTGGTTGGAACATGAGAGAGCGAGTTGGGGGCCAATCGACAAATTATAAATTTCTCTAGCGTTCTGCAGGACTGACCGTGGCGTCTGCAGATGTCATGTATCCGCTGCAGGGTTTTAGGATTTTCTAGGCCTACTAGGCCTGCACGGTAGTCCTTGGACAGGTTCTTTTCCAGCGGCCTTAATTTCTTGCCAGAACTGCGGTCATGAGTGCTATCGCAACTCTGGTTTTCGATCAGTGTGCGCGAAACAGGCAACTGTGGGTACCGAAAGTTTTCAGTGCTAGGTACAGTTTTGACCGGGCCCTTTACAGCTTTCAAGGTCTGGATGAGACTCTCTTTGGCCGCCTCATTGATCGTTTCGGTGACAACGTGGCTTCCCTGCTATCCATCCAATACCGGTCCAATGAGAAGATCATGGGCTGGTCGTCCCAATCATTTTACGACTCGCGCCTGGAAGCTGCCTCATCAGTGGCCAGCCAGACGCTCAGCTTGCAGGAGGTGCCCTCCATGAACATCAGCGCTGATGTCTTGGAATTGGTGACTGCTCCGATGCTCTTCGTGGACACTGCAGGATTACCCATGTACCGTGAAGATGGCGAAGCTTCACGATCTGATATCCAGCAGTCCAGGTGCAATCCAGGAGAGTCTCGTTTCGTAGTCCATTATGCGAAGCTTCTGGTCAGGGCGGGGCTCCGACCCGAGGCCTTCACGGTGATTACGCCTTACAATCGGCAGGTGGAACAGCTACGGGCCGACTTTGCGGCGGATCCGGATGTCGATGCCTTGAGAATGGTCCCGAGAATCAACACGGTGGACTCTTTTCAGGGCCAAGAAGCGGATGCTGTCCTGATCTCTCTGGTGCGCTCCAACACGCATGGAGTTGTTGGCTTCTTGTCCGACTATCGCCGCTTGAACGTGGCTGTAACGAGAGCGCGGAAGCACGTCCTGATCGTAGGAGACGCAAGCACGATTTGCAACAACGATGTCCTGAGCTCGCTGTACGGCTACGCTTGCGATCATGGGCGTGCAGCCTTCGTTCAGCAGCTTTTGGATGAAGAGGGCGGGATTCCGGCAGACCCAGCGACAGCAGCAGCCATTCAGGAGGAGAGGCGGCAGGCCCTCGCCCGCACTGCTGTGCCCCGGCTTGAGATGCTTGCGAGAAGCAAACGGTTTCATGGGTATGCCGGGTATTCGTTTTGAGATCTCTTTTCACTCTGCATCTTTGCATGTTCTCGCATCTTGAGGCTAATGGGAGACGCCGGAAAGTGCCAGTAGGGTCCCCTACTTCCCTCAGGAGAAGTCGAAGGACAAGCTTCAGAACAAAGCGCAGGAAGAGGAGAAGCTCCGACAGCAGTTCCTCAAGCGCCTTCGACATGTGGTGGACCACAGCTTGGATCGGTAAGTGTCTCCTTTTTTGTTACTCACGCATCTATGAGAAGATAAGAGAAGCTTGAAAGCGGCATAGCAAAGCTTCAGGTTCCTAGTAGAGCGCCTGTCACAAATGCAGTAGATTCTGAATGCTTAGAAAGCAGAGCACCAAGAACCGAGTTCCCCTCCAAGCGAAAGAAACCCTAAACGAGCCCGGTAGAAGCCTCAAGCAACCCTTGAGGAGCCTAAAAGGATTTACGGGCTAGCACCCGAACCTTAAAAACGTGTGGAAGAGACAGTAGTATATTGGGGTTATATTGGGATAATGGAAAATCAAATGGAAACCACTATAGATTACCCCAATAATGGAGAATCAAATGGAAAAGAAAATGGAAAATGAAATGGAGACTGGGATTATATAGGGGTTGGGGTAATATTGGGATAATGGAAAATCAAATGGAAACTACTATAGTATATTGGGGGTTTTATAGGGATAATGGAAGAAAATGGAAGCTACCATAGAGAGTTTCGCAAACAACGGGTATATGTGAAATATCATGGCTTCCTTATCATAGTAACTTAATTTACGTTCCTTGGCAGCCGCCCAGAAAAAAGTACGGCAGCCTTGAGATCCGAGGATACGGGACAGCCCCTGCAGCTGCCGCCTAAGCTGAGCCCATACGAGCGCGCCATTGCGCACGAGGTTCTGAGAGAGTTAGGGGGTTTTGGGAAGACTTCGGGCCCAGCTTGCGGTTCAGGATATAGTGGGTTGTATAGGGGTAATCTTCCCCCGAAGACTGGAGAATCACATGGAAAAGATAGATAGAACGTTGAATGGAAACTGGTGGTTTCTAGGGGCATGTAGGGAGGCTGGTGAAGTTTTTAGTTTAAGCCTGGATATTATTGGTTTTAGGCTTGAGTGGAGTTGTGGTTATGCACTGCCAAGCCTAAGAGGAAGAAATTTTACCTGAATATCTGATCCAAGCGTAGGCAAGATTCTCCCTCACCTGCGGATCTTGGACCACAGGTCTAGAAGTTACGAAGAAACTCTCCTCAGCCGAAGCCAAAAGTTTACGGCGTGCGTACGAATACTGACTACTGCTTGAAGCCCACTGAGGTCTTCTCAGCCTGCACGGTCCAGAACTTTCCCTTCAAACACCCCATTAGGGGGATTGCACGTATCCTACCTACAGAAACCAAATCCCTTGCTGTCCAGGTAGCCAAGGAGCTAGGCCTCATGCACGAGTCCAGAGGCGGGGAATGGATTGGGATCGCAGATGGCATTCTCACGAGTTGAAGACCTGCAGTTCTGAAGTTTAAACCAAAGGTAAGTTCATCGTGAAATAATGTGAAATATCGTATTTCTGAAAGATCTGTGGCATAATACTTTTCAAGTTGAGCGGAGGTCAAAGTTGGAGGACCAGGCGTACTAGCTCTTGAAGACACCGTCAGCCCATACTGATGCAAGATCTCAACGTCCTTGTTCAGTGAAATTTGGGAGCTAGCAAACGAAAGGACTTTTTGGGTAAGTTCCCTTGGTACGGTAGTTGTAGTGCTTCGAACACCAGCCTCTCTACGACACGAGATGCGAAACAACCAGTTGCTAGCAGTCTCTGTGAGGTCCTTGTGCTATTGACTTGCTGGGGTTTAGTAGGGAATAAGGGAATATCATGATATTAGGGATTATACGAGGGCTATATTTCCTTCATTCCCTACTCCAGTAAGTCAAGTGTAACGTATCAGCCTCGACCTTGCTACGAAGGATCGGGACTCATGAAAGCACCTTGTCCTGGTGCCCTCGGTACAATCGAGACACCGCTATAGCCTGCACGTTTTGCCCCGTTCCTCTAACCTATGCGCAAGCCACAACTCTGCACTCCCCGATTCTTTCCTGAGTCCACCCAGTTTCGCAATTGACACCACCCCTGTGTTCTGATCGGCACTTGCTTTTTTCTGATGGCGGGGTCCTTGTTCGAGCCTCTTCCCCGTTGTACGCCCTGATCCCTAAATCATACACCACTCCGAGGGTTTTGCGTGGAGACGTACCATCCTCTAGCATCAAGTTTGTTCTGAAATTCGTGCATGTTGCTATGAGCAGTACATGTAGCGCAGAGTCGTACCGATCCAGGCGAGGGCAGCGAGCGCCGCCTGCTGGTTTGGTCCAAGGATCAGTGGAGGGGTGGCCCCGAAAGCCCAATGCCCCTTACTTAAGATATATTGGCCTACCAGGGCTCCTAATATCATGAAAGGAAATTTGGTTAATCAGTATATTGAATATATTGGGCATAAATCAAGGCTGCCGTTGAAGCCATGTCTGTCGTTACTCTTATTCAGGTTCTTGTTGTTTGCCGTAGTCTTGTTCAGACAGAATAGCAGCCAACAGAAAGTGTTTAGAAACATTGTGATATCATGTATTTGGGCTTGGGGCTTGGGCAAAGGGATCAAAGGTTCCAAGGAAGTATGGGAGCCAAAACAATCCCTCCAGAATCTTTACGCCCAGAATCCCTATGGACTGCCAATGTTTATCCCCAGGATCCCTAAGAGTACCCCCAACTTTTGAGAAGGCCCTGTATAGGTCTGTTGGGGATGACGGGGTTCGGTTGGGGATTCAGTACTGATTCATTGCTTAGGATGCTCCACCCCCCAGCCCCGGATCAACCCCACATTCAGGGTTGGGGAAGGCACATGAGGAGGAAGCCAGGAGGGGAGGTACACGGGTGATGGTCAACCTTCACGTCGTGAGCCGAAAATCCAGGATCCTAGACACTTCCCCTGAAGACGAGTTAACTCTAAAAACTGCGAGCAGTATCGCTTGAGCTTCAAATTTACAAGGGATACCCCCCTCCCCCCAAAAGCCCAGGTTGACCACCCTACTTTCAGCATGGTGGTCCTTCCAAATCTCTCCCTACTAAACCTCATGTGGCCTTACTGGAGCGCCCCGCCAATTTGATTCATCCTTTACTCTTCTTTTGGAAGGATGGCCCTGAACCCAACTTCCCAGAGCCGAAAGCAGCGGCTGCCGCGCCTGCCGTCTCAGGCCGCTTCCATGGGTTGTAGAGGATTGGGTGGGGTCATGCAGGCATAACCTGTAGGGATCATAATGGGATTCTGTAGTGTTTTCGTTTGAAGTGGCGTTTAGAGATTAGGATTGCAGAGCGGTTGGAGGGTCGCGGAGCTTTTGGGTTCTAAGGAAACATGAAGGGATTAGGTTCTCAAGCAGTGGGAACACGAGCGCACTCATCCTGCTCGGAGTTTCCCAATTTTGTTTCCTTGTAGGACTCCTAAATCAGGCGGGCACCCGAAATGGGACCCATAGTGTCGAGAAACCCTTAAACCTAAACCCGCAAACAGTACCTGCAATCCTGATGTAGCGCTCCCACAATCACCAGCAAACCCTATGTGATCATTTTCGACGTCCAGAGAAGGATCCCCACGCCGCAAAAAGCTATCCGAATCCTCCAAACCCCAACCACCCTAAACCTACGCCCTCTAAACTACCAAAACCACCATGCTGACCCTGCCTCAAACGCGCTTTAAGAACGACCCCCGAACCCCGAATCCCTATGAGAGACTCAGATTCAGGTGTTGAGCCGGGGCCCAAGACCGTTGCTGACTCCGAGGACACCCAGGGATTCGTTACAATCACTATAGCAGGTACTCTCCTATAGTAATAACAACAACCTACAACAACTTTTGTTATTATCATGTTTGTTATTACCAGTATCACCCCTTCACGGCAATTACACTGTAAAAGCTACCAGTATTCCTAGTGTTTAGGGTTTACATTTGGTGTGTTGCAAAGAGGATGATTGTTATATCCTGGGGTGTGTGATAGAGGCCCCTTCGAGTGCCTTCCCCTCACGCAGAAGCTTGGTTGTTTCCCGGACTCCCCTGCCCTGGATTGCCATCTCAAAGCTTTACGCCCTTCTTGGGAGGCAGAAAGAGATCGTTTCACAATTCTATAAGTCTTTTGTTGGCGTGTAGGGGTAGTAGAGAGTTTGGGTGCGGTGTTCGGTGCATTCTACATTGGTGTCCGCAGAGCATGTCAGCAATGACTCCGCGCAGAATCCACATGTCGGTTTCCATAGCTTCCATTTTTTTCGGTAGATTCCCGGGATGCTGCCCACATACTTCTGATAAATTCCTGAAATACGTCCATGTAAACACGTTTTAAGCTACATACCCCGGACAGGAGACGGCCTTGGAGGCCTTCGAGCGAAGGGCACGTGACCTTCTGGGTTCGCTTGGAGTCTCTCTTGCACATCTCAGTCAGAGTCACTAGGTTTTACAAACGTTCCTGCGGGAAACCAGGGAGGCGGAAGGCCGTAAAAGCATGATTCAGGCACCACCCCCGATTCAAGGAGTATGACTCAGGCACCAAGCCAGCCTGATTCAGGCACAAAAAGGCTCCGATTCCAGCACCAAACCATTCCGGTTAAACTACCAAAGAACTACCATTCAAGCACCTGCAAAGCCCAATTACATGCACTAGGGCTTGGGGTCGTGTGAAGCGTTTCCGGGCTTTGGGTCCGGCAGTGTTTAGGGTGCAGGGTTTGGGGGCGTGAAGGGTTTAGGTTTTTGGAGGTGTTCAGGCTTCAGGGCATCGGTGGTTGGAGTTTAGTGTTTGGGCCAGGGCTTAGCCTTCAGGCTTTAGGTTTCAAGTCTTAAGGGTGTTCAGGTTTTAAGGGTGTTCAGGCTTCAGGGAGTGTTCAGGGTTCAGGGCAGGGGGTTGAGGGATTAGCGAGTTGCGCTGGTGGGAGTTTAGGGCTTGGCTTAGGGTTTAGGCTTTAGTGTAGGGCCCAGGTTTCAGGGTGTTCAGGGCTAAGAGCGCATGGTTTTGGAGTGTTTGGTGTTTAGGGCTTTGGGGTGGTCATAGTTCAGGGTTTAGAGGGGGTTTTTGGTTTAGGGTTTGGGGCGGTTGGTCGATGGTGGGGCACGTCACAGCCGCTCTGAAGGGCAACGCGTGGTCCTCGACGTGCGGGAAGTCTGAACAATGTATAGAATATATCGTGGCCAGCGATCCACGACACGGGGTTCGGGTTCAGCTTGGAGATTTGAGGATTTCGGATGGAGGGACTATCTTTCCAGTTTTTTTTTTTGGGTGGCCCTGGCGCGGAGTTCGTATTTTGGCGTTTTCCATCATTTTCCATTTTTTTCTATCACTGTCCTGATTTTTTCATCATTTTCATCATTCTCATCATTCTCCATCATTTTCTTCACTTACTTGACTTCTGCCTGCTTTCTGTTGGCTGCTTGGGTTTTGGGCTTCTTGGCTTCTTGTTTTTGGCTTCTTGGCTTTCTGGCTTCTTGGTTTCTGGCTTCTTCCTTCTTCGATTTCTGGCTCCGCAGTTTCTCGCTTTCTGTACCTTCCTGAAGAAGTAATTGTGTTGATGGTCAGTAAGGGAGGGGTATACAGATCATCTTGTTTGCAGATGAGGGGTGCTCGTTCCCCCCAACCCCCAACCCCCACCCCCACCCTCCCCCTTGCCTTTGTAACGGCTATCCATGCCTGCCATTCTCTCCCCCCCCTTCATGTTGTGGTGTGGTGAGGCCGTCCAAGCTTGCTGGAGTTATGTAGAGGGCCCAGCCCCCCTGCCCCCCCCGCCCAACCCTCCCGCCTTTTTTTAAAGCCATCCATGCTTCATGTTCTCGTCACTTTTCGTTTTTTTTTCTCCATCACTTTTCAACATCCGTTTTCTTATTTGTTTAGCGTATTCATCGTTTTCCATCATTTTGATCCTCATGGCTTATCATTTACTATCATTTTCATTCTTTCTCATTATGCTTGATCATGTGTCATCATTGTTCATGATTTCTCATCATTTTCATGACTTTTTTCCTTTCTTCATCATGTGTCATCATTTTCACTATGTTTCATTATTTTTCACTATTTCCATAGTTGTTTCATCATTTCTATGATTTTCATATCGTTGTCCTATCATTTCATTGTTTGCATTATTTTCATAATTTGCGACGACTCTTCTATTTTATCCATGATTTTCCATGATTTTGATCAAGAGATTAGAAGTCACGGTGGAGGAATTTCAAGCAGCTCTTGCAACCAAGAGGGGCAGTGGGGCCAGACGGATGGCACCATGAAGAACTTCGGCATCTACCGCGAGCTCACTGGGAAGATTTCCTTCGCTTCTTCAAGCTTCGCGGCGATGAGGGCAACTCCCAGCAGTGTGGCAACATTCCAGGATGGTCGTCCTTCCCAAGCAGGCGCCTGACACAATGGGCGCTATCCCTGCTGCCAAGACACGGCCCATCAAGGGAAGAAGGAGCCAGCGCTTGGGATTCAAGGAGTCGCTACTACGTCGCAAGCTCGAGGTGGCGTTCGGGGACGTGGAGCACAGAAGGAGGTCAGTGCATGGACGAATTCCACAAGTTCTCCTTTCCCCAGATATGAAACAACGCTATGGCCCTGTTCATCCTTTGCTGGCATGTGCAAATCTGGCACATCTGGGCTTTGATCATGGCTGGGCATCCTTGGCGTTGCGGGCGTGATCGTCGCAACAGCAATGGGTGGGAGGCCACATTGCGAGGTCACCGCAGCTTGTCAGTACAACTATGCCACAGGGCTGCCCTCGCCCCGTTGGCCGTTGGCGTTGATTGCGTTACTGGGTGGGCCCACAGAGAAGGTTCAACGCAGCTTGAAGAACGAAGGTCACGCGCTCCAGCAGTCGCCTGTTTTGGATCATCGAGCAGGATTCGTTGCAACGCCGGAGGCAGCGCGTTGGTATGCGCACCAGTGGGATGCTGAGTGTGGTCAATCGGGCCTGTGTGACAATTCAGACAAGCTCGAGATCTACTGTGCAGATCATCAGCACAGGATCGCGCTACAAGGTTTTGGCTACTCTCCTTGAGTTCTGGCATGGGTGGATCTACTCCCTGGAGACGATCATTTCCGCGAACTTCAGCGAAGAACTCGGGTTATACCGCTGCTTGCGTGGGGCACGTGGTGGCACGAGCTTCAGGTGCCCGATGGGTGGATCAGCAAACTTCGAAGAGCTCTGCGAGTACAGTCTGTGGCGGGCAGAGGCTTGTGGATGTTGCTTCAGGGGCACTGGGTGGCTGCTGGCTTCATGCGCTTTTTAGCCTTCTTTCAAGCATGGTGGCATGCGCGAAAGTTTTGGACGGGGCAGGGCAACCCATTACGGCAAGGCCCATGGCGGGCGTATTTGAAGTGACCGCGCGAATGCTACCATCGCTTCTTGAGGAAAGACAGGCACGAGGCCATAGAAGCCAGGGAGGAGGGAATTGAGTACAGCGAAGTTGTTTTTCAGGCGGCTTGCAGGTGCTTTGACAAAGCCACCTTGAGCAACGAGGAGTCATCATTGGGGCTGCGTATTCCGTTGCAGCCTATGAGAAGGCCTTTGGCAACAAAAGCCGACGCCCGGCGATTCAGCAGCACTCTTGCCCTCTCTGCTGGCACAGAAGGAAGTTCCAGGATGGCACCACCTTGCCTGGATTTCGGGACGTGCCGGTTCCTCTCATGACGGCACGCTTCCATCTGGGGCGCCTGCGAGCACACCTTCCTGGGCATGCTTGGAGGGTTTAGTGCTGTGCTTCGAGGAAGGCTTTCTTCGGGAGGGACATCTCGCTCGTGAGAGCAAGCCGGCTTGTCAGGACCTTCTATACCCGGTTTGGGGGGCTGGGCTTGGGGAAGTCTAGGGCTTAGGGTTTGGGGTGTTTACGTAGGTGCTTTAGGATCTAGGTATTTCGGTTTTGGGGGTGTTCAGGGTTTATGGCTTGCGAGTGTTTGGCGCTCAGGGTTTCGGATGTTCCTCCGTGGTTTTCAACAACGCTCCACAACCCTAAGCCGCCTAAGCCGTGAACACCCCCAAGCCCGAAACACCTAAACGCCTAGACACCTAAACACCTAAACTCTAAGCCCGCAGGCTCTTCGACAAAGCTGCTGTCGAGCAACGGGGTGTCATGGTTGGAGCTGCGCATTCCCTTGCAGCCTAGGAGAAGGTCTTCGGCAACACAAGCAGACGTCAGGCGGCTCAAAAGCGTACGCGCCTTTTTTGTGGCGCAAACGAGGTTCCAGCTTGGCAGTGTGGGCGATTCCTTCCATGCCGGCTTCTGTCACGACGGCACGTTTTGGCTGGAAACACACCCCGGGGTACGGCAGCTCGAAGCCCTAAAGCCCCAGAACCTACAAAGTCGAAACCATATTCCCATAAGCCCGGAAAACTTTACGTGAACGCCTAAACCCCGCAAACTCTACACCCAAAAAACCCAAAGACCCCAAAAACTTGGGCCAAAGGACCTGGAAAGCCTGCGGCTGAGTGGAAGGCGCCCACAGACGAAGAGGCCTACGGGTTCAAATTCAGGGCCAAGAGCATTGGGTTTAAGGCTCAGACATATTTTCCCTGTGTTGATCATGCTTAATATGCAGATCGATTCCGGTCCTCAAGTAAACATGAATGCGAACAATTTTTATGCAACAATTAGTGCAGACCTCAAAACAGCTTTTGTTTTGCACCATCCTGGTCGCGAGACCGATTTCGGTCATCCCCTCGTTGCAAATCCCACTATGTGTGTTCTTTCCCTCACAAGGAAAAGGGGCTGATCATAGTATGGCCTTGGATAGGGAATTCTAAGGTTTAATCCGGTATGTAGGGGGAGACCATGAAGAATACTCTCCTGTAGGTAGCACATCCGGCTCGTGGCTCTGAAATCTTTTTTCGTTTTCAATGAGGCTTAAGTTTACGCCAGTAATACGTGTCTATTCGGGGAAACCATGTCACCTCCCAAATCAGTTTTCATCAGCTGCCGAAGGTCGAGGTGCTGCACCGCCTAGCAGGCCAGCAGTTTGGAGAGATTGAGGGTTTGAGGGTTTGGGGGGTTTGGGGGTTTGGTCAAAAGCAAAACTCCTGCAGACTCCAGACCTTTAGTTGTGCACGTTGCCATTTCTTTCGCCGCAAAAAGTAGTGACGGGCCCCTTGCAGAGTCCCTAAATGCGGCGCAGCTACAAGCCCAGAACCACTAAATTCCAAACCGAACCCTGGACTCTGAATGCTTGCTTGCTTAGGCCTCAAATTTGTAAAATATGAGAGGTTTCATTTTTTATGTAAGGGTTTGTTCAGAAGTTTTGGGGCCCTACTGTTGATGTCCGCTCCTGCATGACCTTATATGAGACACCATAAGCACATTCAGGTCATGCAGGCTATTCGGAGCTTCCATAAGCGGAGGGCGCCAGTCCCCAATGTATAGTGAATATAGTGTAATCCTTATAATACGGGCCCAAGGAACCCCAAAAACCATTGCATAATTCCAGTGTCCATTTCATTTTCCCATGTCGTACTCATTTGATTTCGCATTATTGGGGTGTTATCCTACTCGCAGACCAGGTGACCTACAGCTGGAGGTGGTGGAGGGTGGGAGCGGCAAGAAGCGACGGCTTCAGGTACAGGCGCGCTGCTTTGAGAGTATATTGGGGCCACACAAGGGTCCTTTGGGGGTATTTGGGGGTTGTATATTTAAGGGTCATTATTCCAAGAGTTGAAAATCAAATGGACCATAAAGTAGAACATGAAACGGAAGCCACGCTATATTATGACCAAAGATCGGGGAGTGTCGCGGTACAGGGGTTCTGTGGTACTCAGCTCTTGGTGTTTGGTTTTCAGAAATTACGGAGAGTGTACAGGTGTTACTGTTTTTGGAGTCACCAATAATTTGAAGCAAATAAGCGGGACCCTTACGGTCAAGGAGGCTTAAATAGTTTCTATGCGTAATTAGGTGTGGGGTTTCTAAATGAAGCCGTTTCAGCATATCTGCCCCAAACACAATCATTGTAGGTTCCCTGATGTGGATGGTTGCTGGAGTGTGCAGTTTCTTCCTAAATGTCGTTTGAGAAGGCAGTTCTCAAAGGTCATATGTATCGCTTACTTCTACGTCGCCATTGACCTGGCTATTATCTAAGTTCCCACATCATTTTCAACATTTGTTTCCATGTGTCGATTATTGGGGTAACTTTTTTGCTGCCCTCTATACACCCCCCGTATACCCCCATGTAATGCCCCATAGAAATCTCATATAGTCTTTGTACAACCCCTACATGACCCCAGTGGCGATAGGATCTTTGACCCCGAGGCTCCCCCATCTGCATCCGGCTCCGCGACGGAGCCCCGGCCTCCGCGGGAGCCGGCAGAGAAGGCCAAGGCCAAGTCGTGAGATCAATAGCAAACAGTAGCGTTTGAGGCATGGCTTTTTTGGGTCGGAGTTAGGCCTCAAGGCTGAGGGTTTGGAACTTAGGGAATTAGGGTTTAGGTTATTGGAGTATTTCCCAAACAGAGTACAGGGACAGGACGCCGTGAGGAAGAGACAGCCACCTCATTGTGGAGAGCATAGTCCAAGTTCTGCGTCTGAAGCCTCTGGAACATGAAATAATCCCACCTGAAAACCCTTGCTACTTGCTAGATCTGACGGAGCAGTACCCCAGAAGCCTCGGCAAGTAGTAAGATTATTCCCCTCATGCCCGAATACCGGTTTATTCTTTAAATTGACTCCAGATATGAGTGTCTGTTTTTGGTATCCAAAGCAAGACTTCAAAGTATTCACACGTAATATGATGGAGGAACAGCAGCAGCCATCTCCTCCATCTGCCAATGCACAGCTGGCGAGCCTTCATGAAGAGAGGCCTTCAACAGACCATTGTACAGGGGAAATCGAGAGCCTTCCGGTCATAGGGAAAGGCACGTTTGCATCCACCGGAATCCACAGGATGAACTGTATTATCCGTAAACCTTACGGAGTTGAGAATAGTCTCCTTTAAATGGTGCTGTAACAGATTTTGATGGTCTCGGGATCTGTAAGGCTTGATTTGCCTTCTGAGGAGTTGGTCTGATTGCTGTCTGCCTCCTTTCAAGCTTCAGTATGGAGTATGGAGGTCGACGAGAGTTGTCGTTCGTTTTCGCAGAACTTTGCCGATTTTTGAACCCCAACGTGCGAAATGCTAGTTTCGAGATGTTCTGTGGCAATGTGAGTTAGCCGGAGGCCCGAGACCCTAAGCCCTAATTCCTTGACCCCAACCCTGAAAGCTAAACTTGTCAGGAGGCAACGGCAGCTTGCGATGGCAGAGCAGCGGAAGAAGGACATCGAGCAGAGCAACGCCGATGCTTGAAACGGTTCAGGGTAATTCGTTTTTGCCCCCCACATGTTTTTGGTCTTGATAGTTTGCTCGCGAAGAATGCTGGATCAAGAAGCCTCAGTTTGCCTTCCTTTGTCACATAGTTTTGATCGAGGTGCATTCCTTCACCCAAGTCATAAGCCCTCCCCATGTCAGAACCTGCGTGAGCTTCATACAGATCATGAGCTTCGTCGCAGTTCATTAGCAGCTCAACACCTGATAAGCAGCAGCCTAAGCCCATACGTCATAGACATGCCCTTCTTTTCCTGCGCCAAGGACATGAAAGTCGCGAAGCAGGCAACTACAAGCAGTGAAGTTCTTGTTTGAAAGTTGGGGGCGGGGCAGTGCAAATGTAATTCAAGGAAAGGCCCCTGAGAAAGACAAGCCCTAGACAAGTGCCTGACTAGGACGGCTCATCACAAGGCCCGCTCCTCTCTTTTGTGTGATGGAAACAGGCGCCCTTTACCCTTGACCTGATGACCAGCGTGCTAGCATGTGCTAGCCATCTTGCACATTGAAATGCGGGGCTTCACTGAGTTTCCAGTACTGGCAATGGAATCCATTTCGGAAGGTTGGTGTGAGCGGGTCTGCAGGCAGCCAGGAAGGAAAAAACAGCAAAGAAGGGCGCCGCGACAGCCGATGATGATGATCTGGATGCGCTCCTGCTCGAGTTCACGAAGGAGGTTGCAATCTGGGCTTCAGGGCTTGGGTATGCTTATGGTGGTTCACAAGTTCAGGGATTGGGTATTGGAGGGTTGGGTTTCGAAGTATAATTTGTCGATGTTCGATTCAAGTTCCCAACCCGAAACCTTCAACACTTTGCGGGCGAACTTTTGCACTTATTCAGAGGCGGGGGTGGGGACCAACTGTCCAGAAGCTTGAGAACTTGTCCCGCTGCTGGCTTCTCGTCCATGGTCAGCAGTATATTATTCCCATGACTTTAATTCTTCCACAATTGCCAATGCTATCGTTGATTCAAACTGTGATGGGCTTAACCTTGAAAATTTCATTTTGAGCCATCGCCTAGGAGCTGAAGCTGGAAGCAAGCAGTAGCACCTACAGTCTGCCTGGAACCTTGAAACCCCAATCCAATAGGGTTTAGGGTTTAGGGTTTAGGCCTGGAACCTTGAAACCCCAACTCAAAGTTTTAAGCAGGTATAGACAGTTTCAACCCCACACCCGGAACTGAAGTTGCCACTCAGGTGGCTGCACACAAAGGGGAGCCCACACCTAAGGCTTCAAGCTTCCTCACCCCTCGTGTAGAGAATCCTTTTTTGGTTGCCGCCTGTGTGGCTTTTGCCCCTTCTAGGAGGGCACCTGCAGCTTCGCCAACTGCAAGGACGTGGCCAAGGGGTCCATGAAAGAGCTGTGGTAATGCAATTCTTCTGACATGTGAATAGGAATAGCAGCCGAGATGATTTCTTTCTTTAAGCTGCCATGTAGTCGCTGCAGGTTCAGTTGAATAGAATCTGCATGCCAGAGAGATGCACTTGTATTATCAAATGTGCAGGGAACAGGGGCAGCTCTCATGCAGTCTGAATCAGTTGCACTGGCTGTGGATGGAAAAGGAAAAGACCAACACCCTCATGGACTCGCCGTGGGCTGAGACCTCTCGCCTGCTGCACTACATGTGCAAGAGTCCTATCAAATTGTTATAGGATCCTAAAGTATGAGTTCAACTCATATGTTAGTATACTTTCGCAAAACATCAAGGTTGCGCAGCCCTAAAGCGCCGCCGATGATGAGTTTTCTGCTTGATGCGACACGTTCATGCTAGAAGCCCTATCCTATTCGTGCTGGAGCCATGTCATAGTGTGAGATTGTAGACTTGGAAGTGTTTAGGAAGGCGATAGCCTCCCCCCCCACACACGCACGATTTCATTCAACGAAGCCGCATGACACCCTCTAAATGATTCCGCACACCCTTCACAAACTTGAAGCGCTAGTTCGCATTCACTCCTAATCCCACACACCAACATCGCCAACCCTTTTGGCAGGCTCGAGGCTTTCTTGAGCGCTTAGGCTTTCGAAGTGCAAGTATTGCTGCAGCCGATTCTGCCTGAAGCATGCCCAGGTGGGTTTGAGGGGTGGGTGGATGATTTGTGGGGGGGGAGAGGACTCCTTATGGATCATGAAACTCCTTCAAAGCTAGCATGAGGGCTCAGCTGTCCTTTGTCTCACAGTTTTTGGGAACCCCATGGCTCGCTGCACGCTCCGCAACAAAAAGTCGAACGTACAAAGCCGTGCAGTCTGTGAGTTGAGAGTTACTCCCGAAGCCGTACGCAGCCCCAACAAGTCTAGAGTCTGCACGGATGGTACGATAACATATGACAACGCCGTGAACCCACAGTGCTTTGCCCTAGCCGAATTCTGCAACCAAAGCCCTACACCGCAATCCCTGCATCCAAGATGCCACATCCTAATGCCATACCCTGCCCCTTTTTGGCCAAGAGGCGCGTCTCCTCAAACAAAACAAGAAGTCTCTCACTCCGCCTTCCAGCCTCTGGCAGCCTCTGCAGGCAGAGGTGCACGGTTGCGGGGATCAGGCTCAGCGAGCCGAACAGAAGAAGTGGAAGGAGACCTGCGCCGCGGGGGAGCCTAGAGCGGCTTAAACAGAAGCTCGTGTCTGGGAGTCAGGGTCTAGAGTGCAGAATCTAATGGGGGTCATTTTTTTTTTGGAATTTTTGTCTGTTGGTTTTTGGAATTTTTTCTGTCTTCTACCACCGATTTGACCAAATCCGACAGCTGCACATCTCCCAGGCATACCACAATTAATCAAATCCCGCTACCATTTTCTGTGTTCTGCCCCCGACTTTAATCAAATCCCCCAGCTGGACATGTCCTCAACCATACCCAAATTCATCAAATCCCACGACTGGATTCCTTCCCTGATGCAAGCTGAATGAAATCAGGGTTTTGCAGTCGTCCAAACTGTCTCGGCCCATAGGTTCACTGCCAGAATTGATTCAATCCCACATTGTCTCCTACTCAAGGCCGGGACAGCCCAAAGGAATCTCTCAGAAAAGTACTCAAACCCTCTACCGGCATCCTGGATTTGCTCACAGCCCAAGACAGTCAGTGCCAGAAACACAGCCCAAGAAATGCACCACAATAATTACTCGAATCCCTCAGCTGCGTCCCAAGTTGTCGCAGGCCAACACGTTCAGTGCCACAATAATCCAATCCCTTACCCGCGTCCCAAAATTCCTTACAGACTCCAAGAGCGTCACTACCAGAATTAATCAAATCCACAGCCCAAGACAGTCAGGGCGAGAAACACAGCCCAAGAGATGCACCACAATAATTACGCAAATCCCTCAGCTGCGTCCCAAGTTGTCGCAGGCCAACACGTGCAGTGCCACAATAATCCAATCCCTACCCAGATCTCAAAATTCCTCACAGACTCCAAGAGCGTCACTACCAGAATTAATCAAATCCCGCCCTCATAGCTCAATAGATTGCCCAGTCTTGCGATGACCCAGCCAGGTCGCAGGAAAAAAATCCAAAGCCTCAGTGCCAGAATTAGTCAAATCCCTCACCTGCGTCCGAAATTGCCCAAATCAATCACTCTGAGAAGTATTGAAATCCCTTGCTTTTTCTCACACACCCTAGTGAAATCACGACCATAGTGAATCAAATCCCTGGCCTGCGTCCCAAATGCTGTCAGAGGTCAACACATTCGGTGCCAAACGTTGTCGAATCCCTGACCTGCGCCTCAAATTTCCTCGCAGATTGCCAGACGTAATCAACGCCTGTACCGTACCTGTTTCCTAACTTGACAAATAACACTTCACTGCCAGAATAGCATCCTTTATAGAACTGCCTCCCACAGTATTTCAGACTGAACCGGGACCTGCATTCCCATTTTTTCAGAACCCCAAAAAGTCACTCTGAGATGTACTCGAATCCCGTACCCGCAGCCCGAATTTAATGATCGTCGAATCAGTGCCAGAATCAATCAAATCCCGTACCTCTGTCCGAATTTGGTCACAGAGGCCAACAGATTCAGAGCACAATCGATTCACTGCCTTAATTAACCAAATCCTTCACCTCCTTCCCAAATGTTGTCACAGGCCTACGCATTCAGTGCCACAACGCATTAAATCCTTTACCTGCGTTCCCACGGTCCTCACAGGGGCCAACAGCCTCAGTGCCAGAATTAATCAAATCCCTGACCTGCATCTGAAATCGCCAAAAAAATCGTTCTGAGAAGTATCTGCGATTTGAGTTTTTTGGCACAGCCGAATAAATTCACTGCCAAAAGTAATCAAATCCTTCACCTGCGTCCCAGATTGTATCACAGCCCAATAAAGTCAGTGCCCAAACGGATCATGCGTCCCAAGTTTTTTGCCCTCATAGCTCAATAGATTGCCCAGTCGTGCGATGACCCCGCCAGGTCGCAGGAAAAAAATCCAAAAAAACAGAGCAAAACAATCCAAAATAAAACGTTGTGCCGAATGTAATTCTAAGGATGTAGCAGTGTGGGTTTAGGGTGTAGTATTCAGACCTCAAGATTAGAGGTTTAGGCCTGAGGCCTTCCTTTTGAGCAATGGGCTCTATGACTATGTAAGCTCCGAAGAGGACAAACAAGGCTTGGTCGTGGAAGCAAGACTACTCTTTTCAGTGCTAGTGACGGCTAAGAACATGATTACTAAGAGGCGGGGGAACAGGAGCAACATCAGTAGCAGTATAGCACTTGGCTGGCCCATAGCTGGGTGTGGGTCATGCGTCTGTGGTGAAGACTTATGCAGGGTCACGTTTCTTTTGTTGCATGCTCTTTCTTTTCCTTCCTGCTTTCTGAACATTTTTCAGGGTGATTATATAGGGGACTATTATGGGGGTCATTCAGGGAAATACTAGGAGTTTAGACTTTAACTCTTATCTCTCTATAAACACCGGTTTCCATTTTCTTGTCCATTTGATTCTCCATCACAGGGCTTCTTATGGGGGATACCAGGAGTTTCGACAATTTTCCAACTCCATGACAGCTGGAAAGGCGGGCTCCCGCGGCACCGGCCTTGTGAACAAATCTGCAGGCAAAGACGGCCGAGGCGGAGGGCGGGACCTTGCAATGCGGGCCGTGCGAAAATCGCAGGTTCCAGGTTTGGTTCCCCCTGAAAGTGGGGGGCGGGGTTGGTAGGGAGAGCTTTCTGTTGAATATCATGGAGACAAGCGGAAGCTACTTTCTGTGATCAGGTGAGCTTCGAGAGTATTGAGATTCCAGGAGTTCTCGGGAGGGAAATGGGTCAGGCCAAAGAGATCGTGGCTTCTGGGTGGAATGAATTTGATATGCCAGCAATGATTTGGCTCATGTGCCAGAAATTTCTGCATTAACTACCCAGGTTGCTGTTCAGGAACTTAAGTTAAGTTACTGGAATAAGGCTCATTATTTGCTATATGCCCATAATATGTTAACTTACATTCAGTTCCTTAGCAGCAACCCAGTTACAGCAGCCCAGACGTTGAAGCTCAACCGATACTTTTCCTCTCAACATAGGAAACCCCAATACAAACCCACAAATATTATAATCCTTATTGTGGGAACCAAAACCATATATAAGCCCCTTTTAAACTCTTTTAAAGCTACCTCTTAGTTTGTGAAACCCCCAAATACAAAACCCTCAGCTTTTTCCTCAAACCTGTGTTCGCAAGCATTTGAGCTGTAGGCTTAACTCCTTCAAGAGGGTTAAGTCGGGTTTAGGGTTTAAAGTCTAGACTCCTTGTAAAGGGTGTTATATAGGGGCGTATGGCAGGTGTTGCTGAGGGGGGTACTAGGAGATTAGACTTTGGCTGACTCGATTCCATTGGCCACAGCCGACCGCCAAGCCCTTGCATAAGAGGCGCCCTTGCAAACAAGCTGCAGGAGAAGGCGGGCACGGGGTAGTCATCATTTAACTTAGTAACCTGCGGGTGCAAAAGCATCCCTGCCATCAACTTCTCCTGTGCTGATGAGTTTGGTCATGATTTTTGGTCAAGGGAGTGCGTCAATAGCTTGGGGTGGCAAGCAGTGCTTTGAGACTTGCACAGGTGAGTCGCGGATCGCCAAAACCTTTTTTGGTGAAAGCTCCTCAGTAGAGGTCAAAGGTTCTGCGCGAGTCGGCTAGGCATGGAACAAACGCACATCCGAAGAAAAGGCGTACCGATCACTTCATCTTCAAAAAGGGGAATTTCTGCCCCAACAAGAAAAGCTTTGGCTCGAGGATTTGTAATGATTCGGGTGTTAATCCAGCACTGCCAACACTAAGGACTGATTGTGAGAATTGTGTTGTCAGCTATTGCAAGGGGCACGACCGATGTCGCAAAGACGGGTTGGGGGATGAATTGCGACGTGTTTTGTTTGGAATTCGGCAATTATTGATCCCTGCATCATGTGGC